GCTCAGGGCTGAATTTCTGGAGGAAGGGAACATCCCACTGGATCAGGGACTAGTGGGACTGGTGGGGGTCATGCTGGAGCTGGGCTCAGCTTCTTAGCACTTTATCTTGGTCTTAATTGGGATGCATCGTTGTCTACAGTCAGAGAAGGGAACGTCCCACTGGATCAGGGACTAGTGGGTTTGTATGGTGGGGGTCATGCTGGAGCTGGGCTCAGCTTCTTAGCACTTTATCTTGGTCTTAATTGGGATGCATCGTTGTCTACAGTCAGAGTTGAGCTCCTCCCCATTCTCAGTTGAGGACATGAGTATGAGGACTGGAACAGAAGGGTCAAAGTCTAGGAGGGCCCACTTTTATTCCCAGTACAGTATTTTGTGTGTCTTCACATGGTGTAAGAATAGAACATGAATATTTTCTCTAAGTATGAGTGTAAAATATGAACATTATTGAGGAGAATAAAGATGAGAATGAAATTTGTCCTTGAAAACCATCATAAATACTGTTTGTATTTTGACACATTTGGGATTTATGCATAGTGTATCATATTATTTTCAATATAAAAATATGAGCAGATTAACAACATAATGAACATACTTAAGATATCTAGTATTACAGAAAATTCTTTCTTTTTTTTTTAAATTGGTATTAGGGCATTTGCTGGAGAGAAAGGGAAAAGAGGGAAAGGGAGACGCACTGGCCAGGAGGAATGGCCATGCCACAGTCAGCTCTTTTCCATTTTCCTCTCTGGAGTTGGGACACACAAATGAGCCAAGTGTGTTTATCGACCTGCTAGTTCCAGGTCTCTGTCTTCACCATTGGCCATGTTGGACCCGGTCACCATAACCACAATTTAATTCTCGGGTCCCTGTAATATTCTATCCGTTCATATAGCACAATGTATTTAAGTATACATAATGGATGTATCAGACATTGTTTGGACCATTTATTGTCATAAATGATGTTGGTAAACTGTTATTTATCTGAATTCCTATAATCTTCCTTTTTTTGATTATTACAAATATAATACCTTCCTGCTAGATTGTGTATTCCTATAGGACAGGGCAAGTTACAGAGCAGGGAAGGGACTTTTTCCCATGGACCTCTTCTTCCAGATTAACAGCAGCCTCTAAATACCCAGCTCTGGGGATTCTCTACTCCTTGTATCTGTACCTTGGAAACTCTACTTCATATCCCAGGGATAGGCTTAGGATGTTTCAAATTGACCACGTGAAAACTCAGCAAACTTGAGACTGAGAGGAGGTGGTGACAGAGGGTGGTTTCTGGATGGGTGAGAAAACGGGATATTTTCAGGGCAGAGGCCAGAGTCCATTTACTGGGACATGAGATGAGCTTCCTTGGCTCCTGCCAAGTCCTGCCTGGTGATTGTTCCAGGTGCTCCTGCAGGAGCACTGTTCAGTATCGATTCAGGATGTTTCAAGGCCAGAACCATGTGGTCCAATGTGGAACTGCTGTCCACATTCTCCCCAAACGTGGTTTTTAGGTTTAGGTCAACGAAGCTCCAATCTGATATTAGCCTTGTCTTTTTGTTTTATTTTCACCTTTACCTTTTGTCTCCCTTTGTTCTGTCTCTTCTTCACTCTCTGTCCCTCTCCCTCAGTGGAGAGGTGTATGGCACACACTACACTTGCTATCCAGAAGGAAGAAATGTAGGTGAGTGTGCGTAATGCCTGCTGAGACCACATTAACGTGTGAACAAGCAGAGAGCAATGGCCTTGATTCTAGACTACTGATGCACATACTTCTTTAGCCTCAGTGCCTGCTGTCATCAAGTAATGGGCTGAGTGCAATTGTGGACCAGGCCATGAACTAGACCAAGATGAGTAGAGGAAGGAAGGCAGAGCTGTCATTCACCAGGTTACAGGATCTGTACCCCATGGAGACTCCATGTGCTTCCTGCACTATCTTCCTGCCCCATATACACTACTCCTAATGGACTCAGCCTAGTGGGATGTGAGTTTGAAGCACACCTGTGTCCACACTGCATAGGCACAAATCAGTACGGCTCTCTCATTTTCCTCTGTCCTCAGGACTCTGGGGTCTGGTGAACAATGCTGGCATCTCTGTGCCAATGGCACCCAATGAGTGGCTGACCAAAGAAGACTTTGTGAACATCCTCAATGTGAACCTGATTGGGGTGATTGAGGTGACTCTGAGCCTGCTTCCCTTAGTGAGGAAGGCAAGGGGTCGTGTTGTCAACGTCTCCAGCATAGCAGGTCGGGTGTCACTGTTTGGTGGTGGCTACTGCATCTCCAAGTACGGCATAGAGGCCTTCTCAGACTCCCTCAGGTAATGACTTGGAACAGCCTCCCCTCAGCTCTATTGTTCCTGTTCTGGGCAACCCAATCAGGGCATTCTCTATCTCAGACGCTTATGGGACGCTCCATGAACACCCCCCTCTTTTTTCTGACTGCCACACCACCCGCTTTCTGAATGTAGGTGTTCATTCACTGAAAGGTGCCTTTCTCGGTGCTGGACTCAGTGCTGGATTGTAGGAGGTACCCAGGTACCCAGGTCTGAGGTTAAACTTACTCTACCCTAGAGGAAAGCCTGCCTTTGAACAGTGACTGAGGCAGAGTGGGACCGGATCATTTGGATCTAAAGTCAATAAACATAACCATTATGGTATTCAGTGTCAGAAAGCCCTTGAGATAGGGTAGAGCATCTACCTCCATTCTATACATACTTACTAGGCTCTTATATGAGTGACCAATAAATGCGTATAGGGATCACAAGAATGGGCTCCAGAACTTAGACAGTTGAGAGGAAGAGGAATAAGAAACACAAAAACATTGTTGTAGAGTCTTTTGACAGGTGTGTCCAAATTATGCCTGAGAGCCACAGTTGTCAACCGATTGGGGAGCATCCAGATAGAACATCTGAGCAGTGAACTGAAGACCTGAACTCATCAGCCTGGTAGGGAAGGGCAGGAAGGATGAAAGCCCAGACCTGTGTGAGCAATAGCCAAACAGCTGTGCTGCTGGGTAGTCCTTAGTGTAGGACAAGGCTGGACTTGGCAAGAGGGAGGGCGAGCAGGTAGCACGGTTAGTCCTGTGGAAGGTCTATGGGTCCTTGACAGGAGCTGGCCTTTATGCTAGGGGCTGTAAAACCAAGGGAATGGAGTTATTTAGGAAGTTACATGGACAAATCAGGAACTGGAGTCTACACTGGTGGCAGAACAGGCAATCACACACTATGGGCAGCTGAGGCTGAAGACAGAGAGATGCTCCTTTGAAGGGACCTGCAATAGACCAGCTAAGAGATGGCCAGGGAGATTACTAGGACAGGAGAGTAAAGAACGGGTACTAAGAAGTGTGGAGAAGACAAAAATGGTCAGGCCCTGGTGATCAATTAGACATGAGGAGAATAGAAGAAAGTATCACCTATTAGCTTCTTTGCAGCAAAATAGGGAGGATTTAGAGATAATCAGTTTGTGTACATCAAATATTTGGGTCAAGGGACAAACATTACACCCGGAAAAGACCAACATCGTGATTCTAACACTTGCCCAAGTCAAATTACAATTCTTAAGGATTGGGCTCATCTGATCCTCTTCCTACAGTATTAATGAATATTTTATATTTCAATTGCTTGTGTTTTCCTCCCAAGGTCTCTGAAGCCCTTTCCTCTCCGCCTGTCTATCTTGCAGGAGGGAACTCTCCTACTTTGGTGTGAAGGTGGCTATGATTGAGCCCGGTTTCTTCAAGACTCATGTGACCAGTAGTGAGGTATTCATCCCGAGCTTCAAGCAGCTGTGGAACCGCAACAGCTCTGAGGTCAAGGACATCTATGGCGAGAAGTTTCTGGCATTCTGTGAGTAAGCTGTGAATAGTGGGGAGAGAAATGAACCCTGTTCTAGAATCTTGGGTCTAGCACGTACGCCTCCAATATTATCAGGGTCTGTCTTGCATACTGTAACTTCCCTGCAAAGTGGAGAGTTTAGTCTACTCCTGTGTCCCAGTGTTCAACTGGTCACCTAAAGAAGGGGTCCAGGCTTGGTAGAACTTGGGCCCTGGGCTTCCTGTGAACAACATCACTGTTGAGGAACAAAGTGAAGTCAGAAAGGGAAGACACCTGTAAATTCTACGCAAGCTTCATTGACTACAGATGAGTTTCATGGACTTTTATTTGTAATGGTGGTCGAGTCCTTCAAGTAATGCAGTCCAGATTTTCTCAGGATGACTGGCAGCTTACTGTGGAACTGTCGTTCCCAAGGCTAAGGTTGGGTATTTTCCCAGGAATTTGAATGAATTTGATTTGGGACATGGCTTGGGTCATATTTGTAGAAACAGTCCTTTTTATCTTGATCGAAGTAGAAGTGATTTGCAATAGAAATTGACATGGTTGATTTCTCATTCTTTACAGACTTGAAATCAGCTGAACAAACATATCAAAAAAGCACAGAGGACCTTTCTTTGGTGACAAACTGCATGGAGCATGCATTGATTGCCTGCCACCCACGCACTCGGTACTCAGCTGGCTGGGACGCCAAGCTCCTCTACCTCCCCATGAGCTACATGCCCACTTTCCTAGTGGATGCGATAGTCTATGCAGGGTCTCCAAAGCCAGCAAAGGCCCTGTGAGCCCAAAACTGGGGGAATGGGGGAGTGGAGTAGTGGACAAGGGAGGGAATATATCAGAACGAAGAAAACAGAGTCAATGACGAAGTTCTCATGTACCAGGACACCAGTCCAACATCCCTCCTCATCTCCAGAAGATTCTCCTAGAACATTACTCAAGACTCAGGATATTAGAAGGAGACACCCACAATTTGCCTCTCAATAACAAGAACCCAATAGAGTGCATTTGTGTCCTGTTTCCTTGGGCAGCCATTCCCAGTTCTGAACTTCTTGACCATTCCTGCAGAGTCCACACATAGGAGGGAGGAGGCTCAGCCTACACCTGCTCTGTCCCATTCATGTCCCTGTCCTTAGTGTGTACCTGGGCCTGGGCCAGTCCACACCCCCTCACAGGATGGAAATGGCCTGGGTGAGATGAGGGTCCTCCTACTCTAAAAACACCTGTGCACATGAGAGAGGATGAGGGGTGGGGGGCAACCACTAGCTCAGCCCATCAGGCCTCAGGGATCAACTCAACAGTGCTGGTGGGATCTTATCTCTTCATAGGTTTCCTGGATGAGAACTGTGAATCCAATTTTTGATCAGCTTCACACCATAGATTTCTTTTCATTTTTTTTTTCTCTTAGGATAAAAGTTGAACCATTCACCTATACCCAGTGATTTTAACTGTGGCATTCGTGAAGTATGGTTGTAGACCTATGAGTAAAGGGACAGGTGTGTCTATGTAGGAGAGAGAGAACCTGGGAAGGAGTTTCTTTCTTTTCTTTTTGAGAGATTTTTGCTATAGGACTGGTGCACTTACCATAGAGACAGAGTGAGAAACAGATACAGAAAGTGAAAAATCACCCCCCCTCCAAGGGGAATGTCTATGCCATAATCTCTTCTCCTCCACTCTTCTTCAAGGATTCTGGGCAGTCATGCACAAGCACCCAGCATGAGTTATTCAATCCCTGGTTGATCACATGGGAGTCCAGCCACTGAACCATTACACCATCCGCTGCTCACAAATTTTTATTACCCTTTCTCAGACCTTCCTGCTACAGAGTATAAGGGTGATTGTTTCCTTCCCAGGATGTATCAGGTAGTTGGGTCATAGGATGGAACACAGAGAGAGAGAACCTGGGAAGGAGTTTCTTTCTTTTCTTTTTGAGAGATTTTTGCTAGAGAGCTGGTGCACTTGCCATAGAGACAGAGAGAGAAACAAAGTCAGAAAATGAAAAATAACCCCCTCTCAGGGGCAATGACTTTGACACAATCTCTTCTCTCCCACTCTTCTCCTAGGGTTTTGGCACTCATGCGCAAGCGCCCAGCATGAGTCATTCAATCCCTGGTGGATCACATGGGAGTCCAGCTATATAAGCATTACACCATCTGCTGCTCACAAACTTTTATTACCCTTTCTCAGACCTTCCTGCTACAGAGTATAAGGGTGATTGTTTCCTTCCCAGGATGTATCAGGTAGTTGGGTCATAGGATGGAACACAGGGACAGACAAGCAAGGAAATATTAATATACACCGGACAAGCACAGATCTCTCTTATAAAAATTCAAACCTTTCCCCTCACCAGCATCCTCCCTGTGGCCCTTTACAACCATCCCCTCCTTTAGAGTCATGGCACTTTCACCCTCTGGCATCACTCAGGCCCCCCATTGCAGATCGCCTTTCATCCCCTCCTGTGACCTGGAGTGAGAGTCACTACTGGACCCAGCCCATCATTTTCTGCTAACTTTGCTGTGTTACTGTTTACTGGGCATCAATTCCCTTGAATTCCTGAGTGCTTCCTGACTTGACTCTGCATGTTGTCAGTATTCTGATGATGTAACTGTGGACTCAACAGAAAAAGCATTAGGCATAAGTGGTGCAAATTCCTGAGGTAAGATGGGAGCAATAGGTGGCATGATGGTTAAGGAGCTGGATTCCCATTAGCCCAGTATAATTCAAGTCCTAGACCTAGTGACCTGAAAATCATGATGGACTCAGGACCTGGAAGGAGAGTGGAGAAGGGAGCAGAAGGTGATGGCCATCCCTGCCTGGGGAATGATTTCTCCTCTCTCTCTCTCTCTCACACACACACACCAATGAGTGCACATAAACCCATGCTCTACAGCCAAAACCTGGAAGAAAAAAAAGAAGAAGAAAAAAATTCCTGAGCTAGGTATGAATTGGAGTTGAGAGATGTCTCCTGGCAATTCAGTAAAATTTGAGGATATGGAACCTTAGGGAATCCCTTGGTTGGAGATCAAATCAGCATTCCTTGTGACAACAGAAACTCAGGGCAGATGTTAAAGGGCCATTCATATTAAACATGCCATGGTGTTTAGGCTGGCTGATGAATGGTGAAGATACAAATATGCCAGGGAGAGTCCTTTGGAGCTTCAAGTCCCTGAAGGCTCTAGAGTGAGCCTGTTCAACGTCAGTCCTTATTGTTACCTTAAAAAAAAGCAGGAATATGACATTTAATCTGAAGCCTCCTGACTTTGCATAACTCTCTCTAAATGTACACAGCACCTTCTAAACACACACACACACGCACACTCACATGCATACATGGGTTATACACACATACTTGGGTTATACATACATACCCATAGGAAATAAACTAATAAAGACTAGATGGCCTAATCACTTATCATCTTAAAGGATGTGTCTTCAAGAGTTCTGGCCTCACTCCTGGAGTCCTCTCTAGTGTGAGAGAGGACAGAGGGTAAAATACCCTTGCCCTCCATGCTGGATCCACTCTGGAGTGAACCTGGATCAGACTGGACCCTTGACCCAATACATGGATTGAGTCTCCAGGATGCCAGAATGGTCACCAGGAAAAACAATGGCCTTAAAATGGACCCCAATATAAACCAATGCAGGTCCTGATCCTAGACCGTCAGCAGAATGCCCTCTCTTCCTCGTTCCAAGCTTCTTTCCTGTGTGAGGGTGTTGGTCCATCCTGTGGAAGTCGCTCAGATTCCTTGGCTGCACAAGAATCTGCCGTCATTGCTTCCCTTTGCCAGCCTGCCCGCTTGAGCACAGGGTCATTGAGCCGCACCTGCAGCCCTCTTTCTCTCCAACCCGGTGATGAGCTCCTTAAGGGCATTGGTGTCTCTTGAATTCTGTGTCCTCACCCATGATTTAGGGGGCCCTAGACCCGTAGAACAGAAAACGGTTTGGCACAATGAACCTTCATTTCCTGGCTTTCAGCTCTACCTTTCATTTTCACAGCTCTGCTCTTCAGAGACCCATCCTGGGTGGAGAAGGGCAAATGGACAGGTGGCTGTGAGTGGTGATAGGCCTAATCACTCATCAGGACACTGACTGGGCTGCCCCTTGGGTTGATCTCAATAGATGTGTGTTTCCGGGTTCTGAAGGGTGCCACCAGAGGGCATGAGAGCCCTGGAGCGTGCAGGAGCTCAGAGATGCAGCCCTGGAGCCCTGCCCAGCTCTCTCTCCGCAGGACTCAGGTGAAGTGGTCACTTATGCAGGACTTCTCAATGGAGGGACAAGGCATGAACAGGGTGAGTCTCCACATGGGAGGTGCCTCTGAAGGATTCTCGTTCTGCTCTGCAACTCCAGAGAGGGGAGGCCCCAGGTGTCTTCTGTCTGACTGCTGTCTCTAGCCTTCCTGAACCTCCTGGCTCTGCAGGGGCCTGAGCTCCTGGCACCACATAAAGCGTTAGTATTGCTTTAGGAGGAATAGAGTGGGCTGGAACAGTGAGGGCAAGGTCTTGTCTTTGGAAATTGATGTTTTAAGGAAATTATGGGCACTGAGAAGGAACCTTTTCATTTGTTCCAAGTAAAGATATCGCCATCTTCCCTGAGCTGGGTGTGCAGCCAGGATTTGGACTCGCATTTCTTCCAGGCTACTGGGAAGGACCTGGGCCCCTTCCTACCTCTTCTGCCTTTTCTGACTGTCGGCCACTCCAATCCCCTTCAGAGCCCTTACAGGAGGGTCCTGGCAGCCACCTGGGAGCACAAAGAGGCCCCATGTAGAGGAACAAACTTCCCTAGGACTGCTCTCAGCTCCCACGAACAAAATCCATACTAAGACAGAGCTGGAATCTGTACAACTGTCTGGTCTACCTGCCTTCAGCAGTGAGTTGGGGTTGCCTTCGAGCCTCTGGTTTCTTCAGGAAACTTCTTTCTCCTTCCTGACTCTCTCCTCTTCTACTCTTATTTCTCTGTCAGAGGTGTAAATGTGGACACTGGAGGAGACACCAATTACAAGAAAACCCTCTCTCTGTCCGTCTCCACTTTCACATGTCCCTGACCCTCTGTGTCTTCCCACATTACAAAGAGGATCAATTGCTCACCCTGAGAGCCCCTCCACAGGCAGTCATGCTGAGGTCCAGTCAGTAGCC